CTCACGGCCAATAAAAACCTTGCTGCAGTGCAGGCTTCCTCTGCTGAAATCAGATATCCTCGTAATAAACAAGTCCGAGAGGCAGGGAGGGAAAATGCTCTTGCTTCTTTCTTCTGATTAATTTTTCTTCTCCTGAAAAACGTTTTCTCCTTTAACAGGACGCCTGGCCCAGAAACCTGAGCAGAGAGCTGCCCCCCTCTCCTGCCCTGCACCACCCCACCAGTCCTCTAGAATTCAGAGGGGGGCAGCTTGGGCTCCTGCAGGCTTGGGTGGGGCCTGGCATCCCAAATACTCTACCACATAACTCAGAGGCTGTAGGCCTTTGCTGCCTGTGGAGCTCGCTGCCAGTTCAAGGGGATAACTAACTGGGTTTTCAGCCTTTGACGGCTGGTGGTGGTCAGAATGAGAACGTGGAGTTATGACAAACTGACCACTTTTTTACCTCATGCAACACTTCTGAATTTGTCACCATGTACCATAGGGCTGTAGAGTCCTTTGCCAGAAGATTTTAGTGTTGCGTTCACAGCTCAGAAAAGCAGACATGGCAGGTCTTGAGGTATCACAGAAAGGCAGAAGGCTTTAGAGTTGTGTTTAGGGGTCTGGCCTCATCAACCTCTTCCCAGCCTTGTTGAGTCTCAGGATAAACTCTCCACATGTGGCCTGTTGAGGGGGAGTGCCCTCCCATGACAGACATCTCTCCTCTTCCCTCCCCCCCCCAAAATAGGTTTTTAAGTGACTTTGCTGTCAGAAGATGCTATTCTGTTTGTTTTTCCTTCTGACACTATCCCTCCGGAGAATTTCTGGCCAGAAGAATTATGTCGAGGCTGCAGATTGCTAGAGAATTACGCCTAATGGGGAACAGACAGACAAGACACCTTTCATGTCCAGCCAAGTCCTCCCCCTCCCCCGTTCTCTCTCTCCCACTTCTCATCTTCTCTTTTTGGCTTCAAAGTTGGCCCTAGTTTGTGCTTGTTTCTTCGGTACATCTGGTGAGTAAGGTCACACACTGATTTTATTTTGGAGATTGGCAGCTGGGTCAAGCTTAGCTCTGAAACTGGAGAGCTGCTAGGCTCCTCTGGAGGACAGCATGGAGTGCCTTCCGCTCTGGGGGGGAGTGAGCGCAACACTGGGGTACTTCAGCACTCCAAGGGTGGCTTCTGCTCCTTGGTGATTTCAGAGCTTGAGAATTTGAGCTTGTAAAATTTATTTCAAATACAAGAAAGGCACCCTCAAATTCCACCCCTTTAGCTCATTAATGCTGTATTTGTGATGGGGGACAAAGTGTCAGCCCTGAGGTATCCTGAGGCCTCAGTATGAATATAGGGAAAGAACTTAAGGTTATCATCTAACCTCTGCCATGTACATGGAGTATCTGGATAGCATGAATGGTTAAGCACTCGGTTGACTGAAAGGTTGGTGGTTTGAACCCACCTAGGGGCACTTCGAAAGGGCCTGGTTTTCTATTTCTGAAAGGTCACAATCATGAACACTCTTATGGAGTAGTTCTACTCTCATCCATATGAAGTCTTTTTGAGACAGAATGGACTTGAACCAACTGGTTTACCTTATAAATAGCGACTCATCTGCACACAGGCATAACGCACACACATTGATGGAGAAAACGAGCCAGCCCTCTTCTTTATCTACGTGCCGTTCAGAGAGGGAAGGGCAGATCAGTGAAACATTTTGTGGACAGTTGGGATTCTTTTGCCCTTAGTTATGAGGCTGATGTAACTGCATTCAGGGCAAAGACAGTCACAGTTCCCAGAGCAACTAATTTCCAATTGCACCACAGATGACATCCCACCCTTATTCCAGCCCTTCAGGAATTGGCAGAGTGAGTCCTTCCTGCTTCAAAGCTTTGGTGGGAAGTGCCGAGCTGCTGCTTTTCTGTCGGTCAGATGTGGAGTCCTAACTCCAGATGTCCTAGAATGTCCGGTCCTCCCTCACTCCTCCAAATGGTGTCTCATACTAAAAAATTCATTGCCAGGCTAGTTACCAGGGGGCAAGAACGGCATTACTTTCCACACTCGGCCTTGCAGTCTGTGGACTGGTTTGAATCAGTGTGTGAGTGTGTGTGTGTGTGTATATGCGTACTGGAATGATGAGGGGAGAGTGGGGGGAGGCTAATCCCACTCATTGCTGGACTTAATTATCTCTTTTCTTCTCACTACCACCCCTTGCTAGTGGTTTCAAAGTTTATTCTGCATTTGGATATCTCAATTCTTAACTATTCCAAGAGACTAAAAACTTTTCTAGCATAAGATTCTCTAACTAAATCTGCTCGTTTAAGACTGTGCTGTTTATCAGTGACTAAAGTCTAAACTGACCATTGCACCAGGGTCAGTGGTGCACTGGCCAAGCTGTGGACCAGAACTTGTGGGCCAGGTTAAGCCCTGTTTACTCTGAAGCCCCATTATCAACGCTGACTTCAGAGCAGAGTGGGAAACCTCTGCACTTCAGCGCCCTTGTCCACAAGTAGGTAAGGCCAAATGATGCAACAGACAGAACCAGAACTTCGTTGACAAAGCTGAGTGGGAAGTCTTTGTGAGTCCTAAAGCCTTCAGAAGGGAGCTCTGGTGGCTTAGTGAGAAGAAATTGCACTGTCAACCCAAAGATGCAAGGTTCAACTCCACCAGCTACTCCGCAAGAGTAATATGGGAGATCTCTTCCAGATTTACTGCCTCTGAAAACCTGTTGGAAGGTCAGCCATGCACTGGTTCTGACTAGATGGTACACAAAAACAGACTTTAGAGGCCAGCACCAGTGAGGACAGAACATGACAGCAGCAGCAGAGAGGCTGCTAGGATGGCAAGGTGGTTGATCCAGAAGAGCAAAGCTGCTTAATTTAGGATACTTGGTATGGGATGCTGTCAGTCTTAACAAAAAGCAATCCACCTTCTCCGCCCATGAAAGAAAACCAAAAAGTTGTCACTCTGTTGGAAGAGGCTTTTCTCCCAAGGTGCCCAAGTGTGAACCAGCCTTGATTAACCCAGAGTTAACTGTCCTTACTACTTAGGGAGAAACACAACTTGCTACCTGTTGTGAGTAGCAACAGATGAAGAGGTCACAACCGTGGTCAATTTTCTCTCTGGAAAGGTCCTGGCTGGCTGGGTCCACATGTTTTGCTTCCTTTCCTTATCTAGATGTGATTCAGTCTCCCCTGGCTCACCTTCTCTATTGTTCTCAATCTCCAGGTATAAGGGAGAGAGGTTTTTATAGCTCAAACCACCCCACTTCTCCATAGCCACCCTCAGAACTCTCAGCCAAGTTAGCAAAGAAACGAGGTAACTGAAAAGACCAGAGGTGTAGCAATAACAGCCAGCTGTGTCACTGGGGGAAAACCCGCCTCCTCCCAGTCTCCATTTTTGCCTTTAAAAAGGAGTGACACAACAGCCAATGGAATCCCTCCATTCCAGGGTGGCTGGCTCCTCAGGCGGGACAATGTCGCCATCTAGAGGCCATTTTAAGGCATTATTTGCGGTAACCTTCATTTCTAGAATTCTTTAAATGTCATTTTGGTGCCCTCAGAAGTTCAGAATTTCTCACTTGTCCAGCGCTTGGCTTTGGCTCCCTCTATGACCCACAGGAAGCCCACCTACAAAGGCAGGCTGGCAGGATGCCCTTCCTGGTTACATTCACTCATTACACCAGATCATAAAAAATAAAAAAATTTTAATTGCTTTGTAATTGGCACAGATGGTGCAATTCAAACACACATTTTTATTTAATATATTCGGAAATATCACTATAGCTTTGGAACAGTACAGGAATCATAATGGTTTGTTTTACAAAATTACATTCAGCGGCAGCGTTATTATGCTCTGTAAGTTCTTTCATAAAATTCTAAGATTGGGGTTTCAATAAATATGAGAAAAGGCCATCTAGAAAACAATCAGCAGCACACACTGAAGCATCTGTCATGACGGAGTTGTGCTTTCTGGTTTTTAAAGAGCTTGCTACTTTGTGATAACTGAGAAGAGTTGCGAGATTCTGGGCTATCACTGTAGTGGGGAAGCTGGAATGGGCTCTTCAGGGAGAGGAACCTCAAAGCCTGGCTTCATTGAAACCAGGTGCTTGGACTAGCTTTGAAGGAATCATACATTTCTGGGGAATACAGAGATCCAAGGCTCTGTAGTTAATAAATAATCACCAAAAAGAAGATTATGGTAAAGGAGAAATCATCTCATCAAGTTCTCATCACTGCAGATCCCAGAGGAAAAATCCCAAAGGCTTGTCTCCATCTCCAGAAGGACGATAGAAAGGCTCAGATCTAATTTAAGCCACTCCTCCAATTTTTAGGAGCTCTAGTGGCATAGTGTATGACAAGTTATGTTGTTAACAGAAAGGTCATCGGTTCAAATCCCCCAGGCCCTCTGCAGGAGAAAGATGGGCAGTCTCTTCCTGTAAAGGTTTATAGCCTTGGAAACCCAATAGAGGGTTGTCATGAGTTGAAAATGACTTGATAGTTGTGTGCTTGGGCTGGAATTTCAGGGTCAATGACACAGGATGGCCAATGACAAAAGTTCTTATCAGCAAAAATCAAATAGAACCATTCCAAAGTAGAGAGTATCTTCACGTAAATTTAGTACAGTACAACCTCAGCAGAAATTACTTTCTTCCAGAGCAGCAAAGGTGACTAATCAGTAAAAGCTTGTGTGAAGTCTGTAACAATGAGGGGATTTTCTATTAAAGTGAGATGACAAATGAGTGACCAGCTGTTAACCTGGAAAAGGCATTTATGATTGGTGCTTCTGGGTAGCATTCAGTGTTAGAACGCACTCTGCAGAAACGTTTGGATTCCTCAAATCTGATCCAATGCACGACTTAAAAGTGAGCAGAGACTAACAGGAGACGACCTCTGTCACACAATCATCTTTGTGCTCTCTACTCACGGTGGTGCTGTCACATGGGACATAGAAAAATTAAGATCTAGGTTAGTGCATAGTTAAAAGTCTTCCTGGACAGGGCCCACGGGCCGGGAGCTGCTGCCGGCTTGCTCCTTGGTTCAATGTCCTGGTGCTACCTCCACTGGGGCCTTTAGCTCTTCTGCGGATTTGTCCATGACAGATTTCTTTAAGTAATCTCGTTCTCCAAAGATGGTGGTTCCAATTCGGACATTTGTAGATCCTACTTCAACCTGTGAGAAAGAACAGAAAATTCTGGAAATTTATTTTGAAAATAAAGAAATGCAGCAACTGCTGAAGCCACGTCACTCATTCTGGCATCTGAGGGGCTTCTGTGCAACGATGATGGAGCTGAAGAGGACTACTGTGCAGCAGGTAAGGGGTCAGGAAGATTTCTTGGGTTTTCACAGCTACTGTGGAAGACCACTGTCCCTGAGGTGGAAGCGAGCCAGGAATGTGAGATGTTCTGTGACGTGTGGGCCACAGTGGCACTACCAAGAGCTGTCTGGCAGCCCACATACCTTTCTAATGTGCTGCAGTTGGGAAGATGAAAACCATGTCCACAACTATCATAGGATCTAATATCATTTACTTATAAACACAAAGTATTTTTGTCCTGTTTTTTAAAAACAGTCAATTATTCAGGAATATAACACGTGTATAAACAATGGGAAACTGATAGTTTATTTCTGGAACTTCAAGTCACTTAACTGTTTTAGAAAATCAAATATTTGAGTTATCAACACCTCATACCTGCATCAATCTGCCCCTACAGCTGATGCATTCATGGTCAATCAACATGTAAGATTAAACATCTGACCAAGTCATTATGACTTTCTGTCATACAGCCTTGCCCAAACATTTACCTATTGAAGTATCTTTTAAAAAATTGTAATTTCTTTTTATCATCCTTTAGAAATTCTATTGATACAAAAAATTATCAGATACTTTCTATGAATTTCACTTCAAGACAGAAGATGTGCAGAGGTGTTAGAACAGCCAACGACCAATGCTGTTGGGTGCCCAAGTTTGATGAGAACGGGGCATTTTAGAACCTTCGCTGAAGGTTCTCTCTGAACAGAAGACCTATTCTTGCTGTAGCTGTGAAGCAGGTAAGAATCTTCAGAGAAAGTACATTCACACACTAGAATACTACGCAGCATGCTGGAGCAATAATTTTGTAAACTACTACTTGGGAGGGACTGCAGAGCATTATGCTGAATGAACTAACTCAGTTCTGTAAGGACAAACACTGTATAAAACCATTATTGTAAGGGAGCTCTGGTGGCCTAGTGGCAAGAAGCTGCACTGCATTCCCAGAGGTACAGGGTTCAAATCCACCAGATGCTCTGCTGGAGAAGGAGGGACAACCTCCTCCTGTACCAGTCAGATCTGATTTGATGGTACACACACACACACACTAATAACAATTTAGAAAAAATCATTATTGTAGAATGAGTATGAGGACTCAAGGGGGGCGGGTGGGGGGTGAAGAGTGGAAGCAGGAGGGGTTGAGGATGTGTGGGGAGGTGTGGTTAATCATAGGGTCACACACTTTGATGGGTGGGGGTGATGAAGGAAATGGGAAAGATCCAGTGTGAAAAACAATGTATTCAGACTTTGTAAATAAATCAGTCTAAAATAATAATAAAAAAAGAATGTCCAGAGAAGTACACCCACCGCATGCTCGAAGTCCACGGACATGCCCATGCTCAGTTCAACCTTGTCTGTGGGGAGGTCTAGTTTTTTACACAGCTCCTTCCGGAGAGACAATAACATCTGACAAAAAAGACAAATGTGACACTTATTTTATTCCTGTGTTCTCTCAAGATGTCTGAAAGTAACTGAATTTCAACATTTTTGACAAAGGCTATTTATTCTTCAAGGTTTTCAGGCCAATCCTACTAAATGATTTTAGTAAATGCTCCATTTTCAAGAAAACTATCAGTCATTGGGGATGAAGAAAGAGCTCGTTTTCTCTAAATACCATATCCAGTCAGGTTCAAATAGCACTGATAAAGAAAGGTCTGCTGTTCCGGGAACCTAGTCTTCTTCCTTCCTAATAAGCAGCCTTTAGAAGAAATTGATTCTGACAGGAAAAGTCTGGGGTGTCTTTGAAGCTTACACAACAGCAAGCCTGAAACAGCATTTTACTAATATGCTTCTGTCTAGCTCGTAAGCAATCTGTCCCCTCCCCCGGCTCCCCAGCCCCTCAGTACCTGGAAGTCTGGATTTGGTCCTTGACTAAGATCATGCCCAAAGCTTCCTATGGTCATCAGCCCCACAAACTCCAGACTTGGGCACTTTGCATTTATGTGTTCCACCACAGCTATTGTCTCGGAAGGTAGAAGGCCATGTTTACCTTCACAAAAAGAAAGAGAACAGACATATGCCAAATGTTTTAAACAGCCAAAAAGGTTCCCTTTTCACCCCTTCTTAGAACAGAAGAGCTGACTTCCAGACAACAGGGACCACTAAAAGAACTTTTCTTAAAATTCCAAAGTGTAATTTTTATACTTAAGGGGGGGTGTCTTTATTTATGTTGTTGTTGAAGTTTTGAAATTATCAAAGAAATTTATTAATTAGATTCTCTGTATCTCAGTTTCTGTGAGGAAGCCTAAAGTGTAGGGAGAAGAAATAAGGTGTAGGGAGAAGGAAAAAAAATAACCCAACCCACTGCTTTCCTTGGGATATCAAGAAGATTGCTGTTGTTATGTGCTGTTGAGTGGAGTATGACTCATAGTGATCCTGGGAACAGCAGGTCTGAACCCTGTCCCACCCTGCACCATCCTCATTGTCTCTGAATGCTGGAGTCTGTTCTGCAGTCACTATGTCAGTTCAGCTTGTTGAGGATCTTCTCCTTCAACGACCCCACCCTCCACCTTTCCTGGAGCATGACCTCCCTTTCCAAGGAAAGAAGACATGGACCTGAAAAGAATTTTTTAAAATCTAGTATTTTTATTGTTTTATTTATTTATGGCTGGAGTAATAAAACATTTTAAAATAAAGCATACATTAAAGTAAAATTAAAGCAAGTAATGCTAAAACTTAGCTCACCTGGATAATTAACAACCAGAGGCGAAATCTGTAGGAACCACTAGTTATGCTATTATAATAAATATAGCCTTGCCCTTTGTCCCATTTATCAAATGGAGAAGCTAGGAATATTTACTTCAACCTTTCATTAAGGCAGGTTACAACTAGTTACCAAGAAATTATGTAACAAACATCTGACCTAGAGTTAATTTCATATTCACCTATACTGACAGCATAATGGGAAGCTCTGGTGGCTTAGTCTGGAGGGATCTGTGTTGCCAATCCAGAGGCCACACCTCTCTAGTAGTTCAAATCCACCAGTGGTTCCGCAGGGGAAAGATGGGCAATCTCCTCCAGTGTGATTTATGGCTTCAGAAATGCAATGGCAGGTGAGTTATGAGTTGGTTCCAACTCAATGGGAATGAGAAAGCACAACGAAACTATAATACAGGTTCACGCAATGATAATTACTAAGTTTTAAGAAATATTTATGTGCCAAGTATGTGCTAACAGCTTTTCATTTAACAGTAACTCTAAGTAGTTTAATCTATTCTGAAGATGAGGAAATTGAGGCACAGGGAGGCAAAATGTCTTTTACAAGGTCACATCTTTGACTGTGAGTTGAAGCCAGGTAGCCCGAGTCCAGCATCTGTCCAGGGAAATTTTATAATCTGGTAAAGTGATTGATCAGCAGACATTTATGGTTAGAAGGTAACACATATAGTTTCTCTTTTCTTTTACTTCAATGTAATACTAAGTTAAACTTGTTTTCCTTTGTTGTTGTTGAAAATATACACAGCAAAACACACAATGGTTCAAGTATCTAGTTAATTACTATTTAGCGACATTGATTACATTCATTTTTATCTTCCTTTTTTGAATTGTTTCTCCCTCATTAGCATAAACTCACTGCCTTCTAAAACCCCCAAACTTACTGCTATCAAGTTGGAACTGACTCATAGCTAGCCCTCTATTGGATTTCTGAGGCTGTAAATCACAAGGTTCTCCCCTGCAATTTTCTCCATCTATCAACAACTTCATCTTACTTGGATCCACAACTAACACAATTGGTACCAGCAGTCAGGAAATCAGGAGACATATTGCACTGGGAAAGTCTGCAATTAAGGGACCTCTCCAAATTATTGAGGAGTAATGATGTCAGTTTAAGGACAAAGGTGTGTCAGATTCAGGCTACGGTCTTTCCTATCATCTGCTATGCAACTGAGAACTGGACAATGAATAAGGAAGACAAAAGAAATGGTGTCTTTGAGCTATGGTGTTGGAGAAGAGCACTGAACATCACACGGACTGTCAGAAGAACATACAAGAGGATCAGCCAGAGTGTTCTTTGGAGGTAAAGACGATAAAGCTTTGCCTCTCATACTTCAGGCATGTTGCTAGGAGGGGCTATTTCTTGGAGAGGCACAAGATGCTTGGAAAGGCAGAGAGTCAGTGAAGGAGAGGAAGAACCTTGATCAGGCAGACTGACACAGTGTCTGCCGCAATGGGCTCTAATGTGTCAGGAGGTATGAGGATGGCACAGATAGAACAAGGTTCAGAGCTGTTGTTCACAGGGTCGTACGAAGTGTCATACTTGACTTGATGGCATCTAACAACAACAAATCACATGGAAGGAGAATATTCATCTTCTTTCTATGGAACTGCTGGTGGATTTGAACCTCCAGTGGATTTGAAGCAGTGGTTCAGCCTTTGTGTTAACATCACACCTCCCTATAGTCTAGGCCACCAGAGCTCTTTTGATCCCATACAGATAGTTTTAAAAATAATATAGTGCCCATTATGCTACAAGGGATCCTTATTATAAAATACTTGGGCCTGTCATTTTGTGCTGCCAACTCAATGGCATGAGAATCCATCAACTGCTCTGAGGGAGAAAGATGAGCAATCTGCTTCCATGTGATTTTCTGCCTCTGAAAACCTGCTGGAGGGTCAGTTACTGAGTTGGTTCTGACTCAACAGCACATAACAACAACAAAAATTAAGGAAAAAACACAAGTAAAAATTCTACAATTTAGGTCTGGTTACTTACTCTCCTCTCCACTGGTATTAATCTGCACCATAACCTTTAACCTTTCTGGAGAGTCTTTTTTCTGCCAGGAGCTGTTTACTTTGTCTGCCAATTTCACAGAATCCACTGTTTCCAGCATGAAGAGATTGGGGACAGCTGCAAGGAGAGAAAGGGACAAGGCAGTATTTATTGTCTTCCTATCTTACTGCACTGAGCAACAGCAACATCAACAGCAACCATCCACTTGCTAGGAGGAAAAGAATTTACCACAGAAAGAGATAGTGAAGTCTCAGCTGCAAGGTAGATTATGAAGCCAGCCTTGTCTAATCAGGAAAAATGAGTTAAATCATCAACCAGCCACAATCAGGCAGCACATGTATCCAATCTAAACTTCAAGGCTGACTTCAAGGTTGAAGCCATTTACTAACTGTAGAGTTCTTAATAGCAGGCTTGGCCTGTGAAAGCTGGAGCAGAAGCTGAGAGAAACAGGCCAGGGTGTCAAGAAAGGGACAAACATTGGAAACCCATGTACTGTGCGCCACGTTCCTAAAACCTCCTGGGACAGGGCTGTTCTGATTCAGTAAAGATATCAGAATGAAGCAAAACCATCTTAACAGTCTGGCCTCAGATAAATGTCAAGAATAACACAAGCAATATTACTAGCTTCCATTTACAGTACATTTGGTCAGTTTTCAAATGAATTACTTTATATATATTATTTTATAAACTTAAAAATTTTTTTCTTCTTGTTGTGTACCATCAAGTCAGATCTGACTGGCACGGGTGGAGATCACCCCTCCCCCTTCAGTGGAGAGAGCATCTGGTGGATTCCTTATGCCTTCAAGGTTGCAGTGCAGCTTCTTGCCACTAGGCCACCAGAGCTCCCTTTAAACTTTGTTTTATATGTTGATTATATGCATGATCTTTTTTTAATCTTCATCAAAGCTCACAAAGCACTATTATCTCCATTTTAGAAACGCCTAAACTGAAACTCAGAAAAGACAGTTTCAAAAAGTTTGCAAGATTAACAAATATCAAAGCTGTGAAAATAAATTAAGACTCCACATTGTTAATACTGCATGTGAACTCAGATTATTTTTCTTAAAAAAGAAACACAATCCCCCAAAGAATTTTTAAAAAATTTGCAAGAAGTACGCATTCTTGATACAAAAACAAACAATATACAAAACATATGCGGTAAAACGTTAGAGCTCCTTGCCTCAGAGGGTTACAACTAATACCTCAGGGAAGAGGATTCTTTCAGATCTGTTTCAGTGCTTCTCTGTTTAAACACACACACACGGAGTTTCTCATTACTCTTGTTTTATTTTTTAATTTATAAATTAGAACACACTAACATATTGCTCCACATCATTATGTTCTTCCCATTAGGCATGTAGAGTGGAGATTTCCAGATCAGTACTGCAGATTCACTAGCACTTTTAAAAAAAATTTGTTTTATTATTTTAGTGTGAGTGTCCCATCAAATCAGATCTGACTGGTACAGGAAGAGATTGTCCCTCCTTCCCCGGCAGAGCATCTGGTGGATTCGAACCGTGCGCCTCTGGGGTTGTAGTTGCAGCTCCTTGCCACTAGGCTACCAGAGCTCCCCTTCACTAGCATTTTTTAAAACCACAGGATCACCAGATGCTCTGCTGGAGAAGGAGTGGCAATCTCCTCCTGTACCAGTCAGATCTGATTTGATGGTACACACACACACACAAAATAATAAAATGAAATAAAATTTTAAAAAATCCCTAACAAAAACCACAGGATCCACAGAATGGATGGCCACAATTTACTTAATTACTCCTCTTATGAATGGTCATTAGATTTTCTTACTTTTTAACATGAAAGCAAAGATTAGAGGTAGACCTTTGCACACATGTACAAGTATTTATATTATATGTTATATAAACCTAGAATAGAAATTAGGTATTTACCATAAAAATAGAAATTTAACAACGCATTTGACATTTCAACATTCCTTACATGCACAATTTAGTGACATTAGTATGTTCGTATTTTTTTAAATAGGTATTTATTTTTATTCATTGTCGCACATTTTCTTCCCTCTACTTCCCTTCCTCCTCCCCCAATTCACTTTGCAATGCATCTCTTGTTCTAGTGTGTTTATCCTATTTTTTAACCATCATCATTATCCATTTCTAAAATTCCCCATCACCCTTAAGAAGCTTAGTGTACAAGCAATGAGTCTCTTGTCTCTCTATTCTTTGGTAATCAGTAATACATTTTGGTCTATATACACTTGCCTATTCTAGATATTTCACATAATTGTGATCATAAAGTATTTGTTCTTTTGTGACTATCTTATTTCACTAACTTTTCGAAGTTTAGCTACATTGTGGGATGCATCAGGACTTCATTTTTTTAATGTCTGAGAACTATGCTATATATTTATAATTTCATTTGTTGATGGATATTATTATGGATTTAACTGTGTTCCCTCAAAATATATGTTAACAATATCACTAAAGAAAAGTAAGACATGAAGAGGTACACAAAAAGTATAGGTGACAAAGGTGAACACTATGACAGAGACATGGTTTTCAGAAATAGATGGCCAATCTGAGAGATGCTATGTGCAAAATCTCGAATGATACAAGTAGCACCAAAAGATGATGAAAGGAATACACAAGGTCACTGTACCAAAAAGAAATTGTTAACAATGAAAAATTTCAGGAAGTTCTATATGAACAAGAGCCAGTGGTAAGGAAGGAAGAAGCTGAAGCTGCACTCAAGGCACTGGCTAAAAAGATAAAACTGGTGGAATGCCAATTAATATGTTTCAACAAACAGATGCAGCCCTAGATATACTCATCAGTGTATACCAAGTAATGTGGAAGACAGCTACTTAGCCAGCTGGAAGAAATCTGTATTTGTTCCCATTCCCAACGAATGTGATCAAAGAGAGTATCGAAACTGATACTTACCAGTAATATCACATGAAAGTAAAATATTGCTAAAGATCACCAAGAAACAGCAAGAAGAATATGTTGACAGAGAACTGCCGGAAGTTCAAACTGGATTTAGAAAAATTAATTACATGGTTTTCATAAAAGACAGGCACACACATACACATACAACATTTCTCTATTTCTTAGAGTTGCACTGATTTTTTTGTTGCCAGTCTTGTCCTTAAAACTGCTGATAGAGATTGTGATTGAGGTCTTTAACTGCCTGGTGACTTACAGGTTAGAGTGTGTACGGATTCCAGCTAAAAGAGATAACAGAAGAATCTCTATTTATGTTTTATTCCCTAAGCAAAGGCATTTGACTGTGCAGATCATATCAAATTATTGCTAACATTGAGAAGAATGGGAATCCTTGAACACTTAATTATACTCATATGAAACCTATACCTAGAAGAAGCAGCTGTTGTCCAAACAGAGCAAGAGAAAACTGCATGGTATAAAATCAGGAAAAGTGTGCGTCAGGGTTGTATTCTTTCTCTATACCTATTCAATCTATGTGTTGAACAAATCATTTGAGAAGCTGGACTCTATGAAACATCAGGATTGGAGGAAGACTCATCAACAATTTGCATTATGCAGATGACAAAACCTTGCTTGCTGAAACTGAGGAGGACTTGAAACAATTGCTGCAGAAGATCAAAGACCACAGCTGCAACATGGATTGTATCTCAACATCAAGAAAACAAAAATCCTCATGACTGGACCAATAAGCAACATCATGGTAGGTGGAGAAAAAGAATGAAATTGTCAATGACTTCATCTTACTTGGATACACCATCAACACCATTGGTACCAGGATTAAGGAGATCAGGAGACACATTGCATTGGGCAAGTCTACTGTTAGGGATTTCTTCAAGTTACTGAGGAGCAATGATGTTAGTCTGAATACACCTGATTCAGGCCTTGGTCTTTTCAATCACTTGCTATGGATCTGGGAGCTGCATAATGAATAAGGATGACAGGTGAATTGATGCCTTTGAGCTGTGGTATTGGAGAAGAGCACTGAATATTCCACGTATTGCCAAAAGAACAAACAGACAGGCCTTGGGGAAAGTGCAGGTAGAGTGCTCCTTGGAGGTAAGGATAGTGCAGCTTCCATCTCATATACTGTGAGCATGTTGCTAGGAGAGGGTATTCCTTGGAAAGGGAGACGAGCTTGAAAAAGTGGAATGTCACAGCAGTGGGCTCAAGTGTGTCAGATGATGAGGATGATACAGGATAGGACAGGGTTCAGATCAGCTGTTTACAGGGTTGCTATGAGTCACATTCAACTTAATGGCACCTAACAACCACCACCACCACCACATCAACAATCTACAAATGGATATATAGGTAGCTAAGCTCTTATGGCCTTATAGCAAGAAATTGTGCTACAATCCCAAAGGCACGTGGTTGAAGCTGCTCCACAAAAGAAGCATGGGCAATCTTTTCCCATGCGATTAACTGCCTCTGAAAACCCGTTGAAGGGTCAGCTATGGGTTGGTTCTGACTTGATGGTACATGACAACAACAACAACAGGCAAGATCAGAAGATTTAGAGAGGTGAAAGGGATCACACGTATGACCATACACAAGCTTGATTATCATAAAAGCTCATGATGTAATAAATATATTTCTTTATTTTTTAAAATTTATTATTATTATTTTTTGTGCATGTACCGTCAAATCAGATCTGACTGGTACAGGAGGAAATTGTCCCTCCTTCTCTGGCAGAGCATCTGGTGGATTTGAACCATGTACCTCTGATAAATATATTTCTGTATACAGTAGAACTAACAGGGAATAAAGTTATACAAAGTTCTGAATCATCATCAAACTTACTGAGGGAATGAGTTGCTAATCCTAGAAACTCAGGACCTCAGGACTTTGGGAAATCAAGGTCACCTAGAATAACAAAAGTAAAAGACAATGTTCTACGTCCTGCTTTGGTGAATAGTAACTGGAGTCTTAAAAGCTTTCCAGTAGTCATCTAAGGTATAACTGTTGGCCTTTGTCTGGAACAAAGAAGAAGAAAGAAAAGCAAAGATAAACTGAAACAATTCATCCAAAGGACTAAATGATCATGTGAACCTCAACCTCCAAGATCCTCCGCTAAGAAAAATTTGATGGTGCCTGGCTACCACTGCTGAGATCTAAAAGAGATCACAGTAGAAGGGCCTGGATATACTGTTGTTGTTGTTAGGTGACACTGAGTCAAGTATGACTCACAGTGACCCTATGAACAAAAGACCTAAACCCTGTCCTATTTGGTGTCATCCTCATCAACTCTGACACATTTGATTTCACTACTGCAGTCACGGTGTCTATCCATTTCTTTGGGGTTCTATCTTTTGTTGACCTTCAACCTTTGCAAGCATGATGCCATTTTCCAAGGAACAGCCTCTCCTAGCAATACGCCCAAAGCATGATATACAAGCCTCACCATCCTTGCCTCCAAGGAGCACTCTGGCTGCACTGTTCCGAAATGTCTTTGTTCTTTTGGTAGCCTATGGGATACTCAGTACTCTTCTCTAACAACACAACTCAAAAGCATCAATAATTCTATCATTTTTATTCATTGTCCAGCTTGCAGATGCATAACAAGTGACTGAAAAGATCCTGGCCTGAGTTAGGCACACTTTAGTCTTCAGTATTTTGGAGAGATTCTGGACAGCAGACTTGCACAATGCAATATTCTTCTGATCTTCTGACTGCTGGTACCAAGGGTGTTGTGGGCTAAAAATGTGGTACAAAACTAAAAAAAACCAAAAATGGTCAGGCTTAGTGGTCTGAAAATGGACTGGTAAAACCTTTGAGACTACAGTCTTTGTCACGCTTTCAAACTGGACTAAAACTCATCCCAGTGGTTCAAACCACCAAGACAGCGCTATAAGGTGAACAGTAACACAAGAGAGGCACTCCTTAGAATGGTCAGTCATATTAGATCACAAAGTCAGCAATGGCCTAACAATAAAGATCAGAAGGAAGGAAAGGGCAGGATAAAAGATTAATGGAAGCAAGAATCACAGAGAAGAAACGAGAAGTGTGCAGTTACACTGTGGGTATTATAATTAAGGTTATAAAATATGTACAAATGGAAAAACAATTTGCTTTATAAACTTCCATTCAAATTTCAATTTTTAGAAAAGTGTTTTAAATCCTAACTTCTATATCTCTATTTCTGTATTATGCAGATGACACAATGTTGCTTGCAGAGAGGGAAGAGGACCCACCTGAAGCATGTGCTGCAGAAGATCAAAGACTACAGCCTTCAATACGGATTACATCTCAATATTAAGAATACAAAAATTTGCACCACAGACTAATAGGCAACATGATGACAGATGAATAAAAGATTGAAGTTATCAATAATTTAATTACTTGGATCTACAACCAACACCTAGAGAAATAGCAGTCAAGAAATTAAAAGATGTGTTTCACCGGCAAAATTTGCTATAAAGGACCTTTCCAAATTGGCTAAAGAGTAAGATGTCATTTTAAAAATTAAGGTGTGCCTGATCCAGGCCATGTTTTTTTCCGATTGCTTTGTATGCATTTGAAAGCTAGACAGTGAATAAGGATGACAGAAGAAAAATCAATGTCTTTCAATTGTGGTATTAGAGTACTGAATACTTCATAAAGTGCCAAAAGAACAAACAAGTCTGTTTTGGAGCAAGTGCTCCTTAGAAGCAAGAATGAAACATCTTTTCACATACTTTAGGCATACTGTCAGGAGGGATCAATCTCTAGAAAAAGACAAGATGCTGGGAAAGGTGGAGGGGGAGAGAAAGAGAGGAAGATTCCTTACAAGATGGATTGACACAGTGACTGTAATAATGGGCTCAAGAATATCAGAGATGGTGAAGCATAAGGCAGGGTTCGGATCTGTTGGTCAAAGGGTTTATATGAGTTGAAGTTGACTTGATGGCACACAACAGTAACATTTTCTCTGTTATAGAAGGTAATTAGTATAAAGGATTTACTGTGGAATACACTGGTCTTTATATTTAGATTTTAATCTTACCCATTAATTTGTTGACATTTTGTTTCTGTAGATGGCCAATGAAGTGCCATTTGATATCAGGACATGAAGACAGAATCTGAAGGAGAGAAAAATCAACTATATTTGATTCAGATTTATGGAGGTCTTTCTGGCTCAAACTCCTTGCATACTCTCTTTTTGCAATGTCTATGTTGTGTTCTCTATGTACAATCAACTTTTAAAAGAACCAGCGAGCCTCCTAATGAGGTGAAAGGAGAAAAATTTTAAAGCTTCTGCTCTTTTATTCCCCCATCTCCTTCTCATTAACTTCCTCTAACTTTTGAAATCACCCATTAAAGATGAACTGATCTATGTTTTCAAAACTATAAAACACCCAGGCTTACTTCCTAAATTCACCATTCCTAAAAAAGCCACAAAAAGGAATACTACAAGTTCTAAAAAAGGAAAGAAAAGCTGACAAAAATCTGGAGCTCCAAGTCAAAGTGGATGCTTCTCCCCTGACTCTAATATCTAGATGTGAAACCCAAGGACCAACATAATTTGTAACTGGGAAGCATAGCTTACACATAAACGAAAGTAATTAGATGTCCACTTACTTTAGGATTTGATGCTTTTTCTAGCAGCTCTTGAACCTACAGGATTAAAACAGAACAAATAAGAAGACTGGCAATCCCAATTCTTCCAAAGGCTCAGTGGAAAAGGGCTCTTACATAGTTCTCCCCGAAGGTGCGCTGGCCGTGACTGTACGCCTCAATCACCATGTCTGCAGGTTTGGTTTTGCTGACTGCCACTAGCCGGGGCTGGATCGATGGGAGATCCTGCAGAGACAGAGACAGAGAGAGAGAGAGAGAGACACTCTGGATATAATAAGACCTGTAGCTCTCATTTGGTCAGACTCATTTTTGACATTTCAGAGATCAGTATTAGATAACAGTGGTCAAATATCTTTCATATACATGGCATTTCAATCAAATAGATGATTTAGTTTCCTATGTAGCAAAAGACATTACTCTCTCAAGAGAGCTGGACGGGCAAATTAAAGCACTAAGAGTGCAGTCTATAGACAACTGCATTAACATCACCCAGGTTCTATTTCAGACCTACTGCATCTGAATTGCTGGGACTATGAGGCCTACGGAAGTTGGGGAATTACCTTTTTATCCTTTCAAGATCTATGAGACATATGGCTCCCTCCACATTTCTGCTTTCAGAGGCAGTTAAATGCATGGGAGTAGATTGTGCATCTTTCTCCCATGGAACATCTGGTGGCCTTGAATCATGTGTCTTCATGATTGCAGGGCAGCTTCTTACTGCTAGGCCACCAGAGCTCAGTTTGACGGAAGTTGCTATCCTCTATCAGTGTTTGCTACCAGCTGGAAGGAGCATGGAGAACAGTGTGAATCTGTTGATGATGGCCTCATCTTACCAACGCCAAGACCAGAAACTCCACAGGACATCTGTGTCCTACCAATAGTACACAAATTCACACCCAAATCCAACCCAACCCACCACAGTCAAGTTGATTTTGACTCACCAAGACCCTAAAGAGAGCCTAGGAGGAACTGTCTCATAAGGTTTGTGGTGGTTGTTAGGTGACTACTACTCACAGTGATGTGACGATCAATATAGAAACCTTGCCCTATCCTTCAGCTATGCTCAGGGCTACTGTTGTAGTCACTGTCAGTCGATCTCTTTGAGAGTCTTCCTCTTCCTTGCTGACCCTCTCTACTCTCTCCCAGAAAGATGTCCTTTTCTATGAACTGGCTCCTCCTGACAACATGCTCAGAGTATCTGTAGGACGAAATGTCACCATCCTTGCTTCTAAGGAGCACCTTGGTCACATTTCCTCTCAGGCAGATTTGTTCATTCTGTCAGGCCATGGGATATCCAATATTCTTCTTCAACATCACAATTCAAAGGCATCAATTCTTCTTCCATATTCCTTACTCATCATCCACCTTTCATACCCATATGAAACAATGAAAATATCATGGCTTGGCTGAAGCTCACCTTAGTCATTAAACTGACATCCTTGCTCTTTAGTATTTTAGAGGTCCGTGGCAGCAGAAACTGTAAATCTTTACAGAAGTAGATGGCCACACCTCATTCCCACAGTGCTCCTAGTGAGTTTGAACTTTTAATGTTTAGTTAGCAGCGAAGTGCTTTAACCACTGTACTCTCTGTTGGTGTGTGCCAGAGTCAGAATAGAGCCATAGCTGATTGTCTGGAAGGTTTTCAGAGGCAGTGTATCACATGGGAGGAGACTGCCTTTCCTTCTCTCATGGAGCAGCTGGTGGATATGAACCACATGCCTTCGGGATTGCAGCACAGTTTCTAGCCAGTAGACCACCAGTGCTCCCTTGTACTATCTGGGTGCCATAACAATACATATTACAATACAAATATTTTCCTTATTAAAAATATCTTCCATTTAAAAAAAAAGAGATGTTCTCATCAAAAAAATGAAAGCAGAAGAGAATTAAGCACTATCCAGAGGATTTTCTTGTTCATTGTGAGGTTTAGGAATTACTTGAGGAAAAGATGGTGCCACTGACTAGAAAGGAGGTTATATCCAGTTTCTGAAGCCCCAAGGTCAATAGTTTTGACCCTGGAAACTCATTCTGCATGGAACTGTTTCTCTTTATAGCTCTCTGTGTATCTATTTCACTAAAATCTACGTGTGGGTGGTGAATGAGTAAAGAGAGCCACTGGAACTTAAGATGAAGTGCTCAGAAGGGGAATACATTCTTTCTCAGTCTAATAAAGTAAAGCCTGTGAGAGCTGGGACTGAATGGGACTGGCTTGTTTTTCCAGGTCTCCTAAGTCTTCTACCTTTGACAGGTACAGTTGACCACTTTTCTATTCTTCATCAGTTTTTCTTCTCTAAGAAGCTTCAGTCTTACACAGGTTCTAGCTTTTGCAGGTTTTATGTACTGGGTTCCTTTCTTTTGGTTCTTCGCTGGTAACTTCTTGCTTAGAGTTCAACGAATCAGTAAGGCACTGTGTGAGTGTACACACACATATAACATTAAAAATATCCCTTTGACTGTGACAGTATCCGATGAGAAAGGGTATGTTCTTAAAATCCAAAGTCTCCATCAACGTGAGAAGGCGGCTCCGAAGGCCCTCTTGGCATCCTGTAACATCCATCAGTCACATATTACTGAGTAGGCCTCAATCATGCTGAGGACACAGAAAGGCAGGTGCACCGATTTTTGCTCTGTTAGCTCAATTCCAGACAACCTAGAAGTCACTTTTGTAGTTTTCTCTTTTCATTCAATAACTCAGAAAAGATAGAAACAATGAAGCCAAGAAAAGGAAAGAATCCCTTCAAAGACCTCAAATGATCATCAATGTAAAAGAAGCAAGCAGCTCACTAATAAGATGCTCTCATATCCAGACTGCACTATACATTAGTCTTGAAGCAGGGATATAACAGATCTATGAATTGTGCTCATGCAAAACCTATACCTAGACCAAGAAGCTGTTACCGAAACACAGGAAAGGAACACTGCATGGTTCAGGAAAGGTGTGTGCCAGGGCTATATTCTTTCTCCATACTTATTCAACCTGTATGCTGAGCAAATAATTTGAGAAGTCTGACTTTATGAAGAAGAATGTGGCATCAGGATTGGAGGAAGATTCACCAATAACATGTATTATGCAGATGACACACAACTGTGCTTTCTGAACGTAAAGACAACTTGAAACACTTGCTGTAGAAGATCAAACACTACCAATATGAATTATACCTTAATGTTAAGAAAATAAAAATCCAGGGAGAGGTGTGTAAAGGAAAGAGGAAAGATCTGGTGTGAAAAACAATGTACATAAACATTTTAAGTAAACCAATATAAAACAAAAATTTTACATATAAATAAGAAAAAAAATCCTCATCATTGTGCCAATTGGAAACATCATGAAAGATGGAGAAAAGATTAAAACTGTCAATGACTTCATCTTAGTTGTATCCATAATCAATATCCTTGGTACCAGGAGTCAAAAAATCAAAAGATGAGCTGCACTGGGAAAAACTGCTATCAAGGACCTCTCCTTGTGCTAAGGAACAACCAAGTCTCACCTTGTGCTAAGCTACCAACAAAGACAGTTTTAAAACTAAGGTGCACCTGATTCAAGCCATGGTCTTTTAAATTACTTCCTATGCATCTGAAAGATGGACAACGAACAAGGATAACCAAAGAAGAATGAATGCCTTTGAGTTGTGGTGTTGGAGAAGAGTATTTAATCACATATCTACAGAATAAATATGTCTTAGAGAAAAAGAAACCAGGTTACTCCTTAGAGACAAGGATGATGACGCTTTGTCTCATATACCTTGAGCATGTTGTTAGGAGGAGCCTGTCCTTGAAAGAGGGTATCTTACTTGAAAAAGTGGAAGGTCGGTGAAAGAGAGGAAGACCCACAACAGGATGGATTGACACAGTAACTGTTAAAACGGCTCATGTTTATCAGAGAGGGTGAGGCTGGCACAAGATAGGGCAAGGTTCAGATCTGTTGTTCAGAGTCACTACAAGATGCAATCAACTTGACGACCTCTAACAACAACATGGATTGGGTGACTATAAACTCTGGCTTGCTGTAACTAAAAACAAAAACCTCAAACTCATGCTTGTCAAGTCAGAATAGATTGAGAGTCCAGCTGGTTTTCATGAGCTTGTAAATCACACTAGAGGAGACTGCCCATCTTTCTCCTGTGGAGACACTGGTGGATTTGAAATGCTAGACGCGTTACTTTGGGTTAGCAGCACAACTCTCTATAGGCAAGGCTACAAGCGCTGCTGCTACAATACTGGCTTATTTATTTTTTTAAATTTTTTTTCCCCATAAATGCACTTTATTACACAGCTCTGGGAGACAGCGAGTCACCTCCAAGACTGCCTCCTAAATTTTAAATTTTTTAAAAATTTATTTTATTATTATTGAGTGTGTATGTGTGTGTACCATCAAACTGGTACAGGAGGAGATTGCCCCTCCTTCTCCAGAAGAGCATCTGGTGGATTTGAACCGTGTACCTCTGGGATTGCAGTACAGCTTCTTGCCACTAGGTCACAAGAGTTTCAAAACATTTTGTGTGTGTGTGTGTGTGTGTGTGTGTACGTGTACTGCTGAATTGGATCCAACTGGTACAGGAGAGATTGCCCCTCCTTTTACAGCAAGGAAATCTGGTGGATTCAAACTGCCTGCCTCTGGGATTGCAATGCAACTTCTTGCCACTAGGCCATGAGAGTTCCAAAACAGTGTGAGAGAGAGAGAGAGAGAGAGAGAGAACCATAGAATCAGCTCCAACTGGTACAGGAGGAGATTGTCCCTCCTTTTACAGCAGAGCCTCTGTGGATTTGAACCACCTGCCTCTGGGATTGTAGTGCAGCTTCTAGCCACTAGGCCACCCAGAGCTCCCCTTAGTCCTGGTTTATTTCTAAGTTCCTGGTGTAATTAATACTGCACCTAAAGTTGCCTACTTAAGGTAATTTATTACATATTGCGCCTAATCTATGAATAAAGAACCAATGGCAGAACTGGGATCAGGACTAAAAAACTCTAGATTTAGGACTAGAACTTAAGACTATAAACTAAAACACAGTGTTTCCTCATATTCTTTTGTATCCAAATCACAGACAGGCAACAAGAGAAGAAATTAATCTACTTTTCCATAGTTTTGTCTTTATGTACACCACCCTTCTGAATTTTCACTCAGTGAAGAATCACTATTGATCCAGTGGTGAGAATTTCCATTGTTAATCTATTTTGAAGGCTATAATCTTAGATGATCTTCAGTAAGTGCTTCCAGATTTCTTTA